TTTTTACTACAATTTTAATTTCTTTGATTGGTAGAAATTGATCTGTTCATGTAATTTGTTTCCTTCTGGTTCAGTCTTGGAAGATTACAGGAGTACAAAAATTTATGTTTCTTTTGGCTTGTTGAATTTTTAGGTACAAAGATTTTCATGTCCAACCCATCTGATTTTTGACACGTTGGTAAATGAGACAGCGTCCCTAATTCTTGACCATCAACAGAGGTAGGAACTCCAGATTCTTTCTCTCATTTGAGTGAAATCTGATACTCCAAGCATAGCTCTTTGGATTCCTCTTTGGGAGAACTGAATAGCATTCTCATCCTGTTTTCATAGGGCCCAGGTCTCTGAGGCATATGTTAATGCAGGAAGAACAGTGGAATCAAAGAGATGTGACCAGAGCTGGAGGTTCTTCATCCTCTTACCTATTTCTTTGATGCTCTTGAAGACATTCCAAGCCACTCTCATCCTCCTGCGCAACTCAGGTGCCAGGTCATTCGTCATGTTGACTTCTCGACCTAGGTACACATAACTGTTGCATTCGAAGATGTCTGTCCCATTGAGAGTGAATGGAACGTCAGGAATGAGACTGTTTCTCATCAACATTGTCTTCGTGAGATTCATCTGTAGTCTGACCTTTCCACACTCACGGTCAAAGTTGGCCAGCATTTGTGCTGCTTGGCTAATGTTTGGTGTTATTAGAAAGAAGTCATCAGCAAAGTGGAGGTGGTGTAGTTGCTGACCGTCTATCTTCACTCCCATTCCTTCCCATTCCAGTTGTCGCATGACGTTCTCAAGGGTAGCACTGAAGAATTTCGGTGAAATGATATCACCCTGCCGAATCCCTCTCTTGACCTGGATGATCACTTCTGTGTAGAATGGTGAGATCCTGGTAGTGAATCCGTAATACAGCTCATGGAGGATCCTGATGTATTGAGTTTGAATGTCCTGATTGGCTAGAGCTTCAATGACTGCTTCTGTCTCAACAGAATCAAAGGCCTTCTTTAAATCAATGAACGTTAGACAGAGTGGCATCTTGAACTCCCGAGAAACCGCAATGAGCTTGGTTATTGTGTGGATATGGTCAATCGTGCTGAATCCTTTTCGAAAACTGGCTTGCTCGCATGGTTGTCCTTCATCTAGTGTTCTGCCAATCCTATTCAGGATGACTGGAGTGAACAGCTTGTAGATGACAGACAATAGGCAGATTGGGCGATAGTTGCCAATGTCATGGATGTCTCCTTTCTTGTACAGTAGTACAGACTGCTGGTTTTAGATTGGGACAGAACCTTGCATTCAGACAGGTAGCGTGTAAAGAGCCGAGCCAGCATATTGATGAGTACCGATGCCAGGTTCCTCAGATGTTCAGGTCTGACCTTTTCTGCTCCAGGTGCTGTTCCCTTCTTTATCAACAAAATGGTGTGTTGGATTTCTGAAGGGAGAATGTTGGGAACGGCATATCCATCTTGTGAAATTTGGTATGTGGGCAGGTGGATGTGGCTATCAAAGAGATCTGAATAGAAGTCATGGATAATCTTCTCCATTGCCCTTCTGGAAGATGTGATAGATCCATCAGGATGTCGGAGGGCAGTCATCTTGGTCTTGTAGTTGGCGGGCGTTAGGAATGGTTTTCCTGGCTTCTGCTGCATCCACCAGCACTTCTGCTCTTCTCTCTTTGAGGTCTTCCTTGATCGCATCTCTGCACTTCTTTGCGAGCTCAGACGTTAGCTTGCGGTTGCCTGAGGCATGCGCCAAACCACATTGGCGAATAAGCTCAAGAGTTTTTGAAGACAGGTGAATTTTTTTGTGGCTATCTCTCTCTTGGCATTCCTCGCACAATCATGGAGGTGCTGAACCAGTCAATCGTATTCTTCTTCAATGTTGTCAATGACGGCATCTTCCCATGTTGCAGCAATAGTGCCAAAGAGCTCCCAGTTGGCGGTCATTCTGGGAGTTCTCTTCTTGACCTTTGCAACCCTTTCTCCCCGCTCTGTGAAGTAGAATTTTGTAGAAAGGAGACGGTGGTCTGATCCCGTTTGGAATTTTGGGACAACAATGACATCGGTCAGGCAAAGCCGTCAATTGAATATGATGTGGTCAATTTTGTTGTGGAAATGTCCATCAGGAAAATCCCATGATTCTCCCGGTCAAGAATCAGGGACGCTGTCTCGTTTGCCAACGTGTCAAAAATTAGATGGGCTGGATACGTAATGAGATTTGGAGATGACTGCTGGGCTAGAGCCATTATTGACTGGATTCCATGGGACGTCAAAAGACTGCATGGCCGCCCACCTATCAGTTGGTCAGACTTTGTCAAGACCCTGAATGATCGGTTTGAGGCTCTTCGTGTTCCTAAAATGAACAGATGCCACTGGGCTACACTAGCACGTGACAGGGACAAATGGAGATGTTACTGGTGCCCGCTCGAGCAAATCTTGATTAACGGGAAGTGATCAAGTGAATTGATCAAAGATTTTCATCTCTGATATCTTCTAAATTTCTCTAGTATCTGTTATAATATTTTCCCCTTTCATTTCTGACTTGGTTTATTAGTGTTTTTCTCAATTTTTTTTAAAATTTAGCTTAATGGTTTGTTGACCTTGTTCACTTTTTTCCAAATGATAAACTTTTGATTGTGCTGATCTAATGTTTTGTTTTTATTTAGTTATTTACATTCTAGGTTTTATTATCTTGCTCTTTCTGCTTCCTTTGGGTTCCCTTTGATGGTCTTTTCCCTAGGGTCTGTGCCACTAGATTATTCAATGGGGTCCTTTCTGTTCCGTGACGTAGGCTGCATTTCTCTGCCCTTTCCCCTCAAGACAGCTCTGGTAGTGTCACATATATTCTGATAAATTGTATCTCTATTCTCACTGATATCTAGTATTTTTATTATTCCTTCATTGACTATCGTTTGAGCGATGCTTATTCAATAGTAAGTTGTTTCATTTACAAGTATTTGAGTTTTTCCCAGTTTTTGATTCATTTTCACTTTTAAATGATTGTGGTCTAAGACGACATATATTATTCTTGTCTTCTTGATTTCATGCAGACATTTTTTCGTTTGTTTGTCTTTTTGTTGGTATCCCAACATGTGGTCTCTCTTGGAGAGTGTCCTATGTGCATGGGAGAAGAATGTGTACTCAATGTTTTGTTTTGTTCTTTTGGTTTTGGGGCCACATCTGGCAGTGCTCTGGGCTTACTTCTGGCTCTACACTTGGGGATCATTCCTGGTGCTGGGAGACCATGTGGGTGCCAGGGATCAAACCTGGGTCAGCTGTGTACAAGGCAAATGTCCTACCTATTATACTATTATTCCGGTCCCTTGTACTCAACTTTTTGGAAGAGACTGATAAATATATGTTAGGGTAATCTGTCCATTTCTTCTTGATGACCAATATTTCCTCACTGAATTTTTGCCCAGTTGATCTCTCCAGCATTGAGAGGATTGCCCACATTTCCTACTGCTACTGTGTTGTTAATATCTATCTACAGGTATATTAGAAGCTACTCTAACTTTTGATGGTCTGTCATTAGAAGCATACATTTCTTAACGGATAGAACCTTTGGTCATTAAGTAATCACCGCCCTGTTCCTTATAGCTTTTTTGTTTGTCTTCAGGCCATACTGGGAGTGCTCATCATGGTTTACTTGTGGCTCTGTACTCCCAGTCACTCCTGGTGCTGCTCAGGGAACCATACGGAATCAAACGGGGTCAGCTACATGGAGGAGAACTCCATCTCTGTTGAGCTATCTCTCCGTCCCCTGCCATGTCTGACCTTTTTATAACTGTCCACACACTGTCAGCAGTGTTTGTGTTCATAAATGTTCATGATCAATAAGTATAAACATAGTTGTTTTGTGATAGTGGCAAAGAAATCAAAGTTCTTTCTAATGGCTCATGAGAACAGGGGCAGTGAGAGGGACAACTTTAGCTAAAAGGAAGGTCATGATAGATTGCTCTCAACGACTTTTATCCTTGCTGTCCTGTCCTGCCTCAGTGTGTCTGTGTGTCGTGTTTGTCCCCAGTTCCATCACATGCTGAGCTACAGCAGGATGAGATAGGATTTACTGGTGGATTTTCAGGAATCACGATCACGATCACGATCACGATCATCCTATTGTTTGTCGACTTCCTCGAGCAGGCACCAGTAACGTCTCCTTCTTCCTAGCCCTGAGATTTTAAAAGAGCTATTTCAATGCTCTTTCAGGATTAGGAGAATGAGACCCATCATTATTACTTGTATTTGGCATATTGAGTACGACACGGGAAGTTTGCCAGACTCTGCCGTGCGGGCAGAATAATTTTCAGGAATCAACTGAGGTGAATTCCTGATGGCGTGACCCTACTGTGCTCTTAGAAGGGAGGCAAGTGCTTTCTCTCTCTGCTGCCACAGGGGACATGGGGATAAAGTGGCCGATGTCAGTCAGCATGAACACCCCTATCAGGTACCATCCCTTCATTTGGACTTTAGCCCCCACAACTGTGAGAATACAAATCGTGTTATTCAAGCCAGTCAGCCAGTAGTATTTTGCAGTGCCAACTTGGACAAAGATAGTATTAGCCAAATTCTCATGATCATAAGTAACAAGATGAGCTGAATTGAGTAATATAGATATTACATCTATAAAAGTTACCGAGGGAACAGAGTGAAACTTATTATGAGTTAACTTCTATCTATGACCTAAATGTCTAGTAGTTCATTGAGAAGTGATGACTTGAAAAAGCAAGAAGTCAGGCAAGTGTGAGTGCCAGGCTTGGGAGGTGGTAACTATAAGACACATACACAAATGCGTGCGCACACACACACACACGTGCACATGTGTGCATGCACCAGAGTGCTGTTCTCTTACATGCAGTGTCCTTCTCAGAAAGTCCCACAATAGCTTAAGTTTCTCAGCTTACTTTCCTGCCCAAACGCTTTGTGTGAGAGCCCAAGTCTTCTCTGGCTCCCAGGCCCATGGTGATGGCAGCGCAGAACGCCTTACCACAAGTGCCCGGCACTTACCATTCTGTTCCCGCTGCACGCCAGCTGCCAGCAGGTCGGGCTCCCCGAGGCTGATGTCGTTCAGCCTCGTCCCAAGACACTCCATGCACAGATGTTTGCACCATTCCTCGGCCTCCAGCTCTGGAAAGAATCACACGGCAGCCAGGTCAGCATAGGTGGGCGGGCACCTTCCCCAACCCTCACAGCTGTGCAGGGAGATGTAGACATCTGAGGAAACTGACTAAAAAGGATCTGGAAACAAAATCCCCATGTCTATTTCTGCTGGCTTCATGTCATACCTAAGGCCACTTAGAGTCATCCCACTGTACTTTACTTAAAGTAATAATATGAGAATGTTGGTTAATGGTTATTAGATAGTCCCTAGGATTCTCATATGGTTATTTTAGACTGATTTTTTTTATCTGGCTGGGCCTCCCAAACAGTGCTCAGGGGTCCGGGGACCCATCCCAGTGATTCTTGGTCAACTTAACCAATGGTCCAGTATAAGTTGCTCAGGATTCACCATTGTTGACTCTGCCAGGTCATGGATTATCCAGGCCACCAGGTAGGGCTCAGGGTCCTCCTGGCCAGCCCACACCCAGTAGTGACCAGAGGGCCCCCAGGACTGCACCTGGCTATGCTCAGGGGACCATATGGTACAAGAGATTGAACATTTTGCAAAGGTATGTACCATATCCTCATAGGACCTCCTGTTTCTTTGTTGGGAGAGAGAACAGACTTAATTATATATATGTGATAAAAAATAAATACATGATCTATTGAAAAGTTGTCAGACTACATTAAGTAAGCAAAAGTTTTCCTAAATTTCCCTTGGATTCATGTGGGCTGGAAACCTGTTTGCCAAGGCAGTCTGGATTGTAGTGATAGTGATCAGCCAGGGCTTATGCACAGAAAATATCCAGAGTGTGCCATGGTTACTGCAAAGCAACTCTACAATAGTATCTAGAAGGCATGTTCTCCTATAGTAAACTCCAGGAATCAAATTGATGAGAGGCATCCTCGTAAAAATATTCTCATCAGTTTCTTCCTGCTTCACAGTCACATAATTTTTGTCTTTGTGTAAAACATTAAAACATCTTATGTCTGCACAGATATAAGAGTCAGGCATCTGAAGAAACCGACAAGAAAGGCATCTGAAAAGGATCTGGAAAAAAAACCGTGCCTATTCCTACTGGCTTGGATGAAACATGCATGAGTATTGGTCAACACCAAGACAAAGTGAAACTCAAGTATTCTGACAAGTGCAAGATGCAGAAAGTTGCAAAAGGGCATGGGGCAAAATTTAGGACCAAGTTTCAATGCTGCTGCACAGAAACTAGATCAGAACTTTCCATGAACAGCTGCCCAGAAAAGGGTCTGATTGCTCCCTCAGTGCAAATCTGCTGTGGGACAGTTTACTGTAGATCACCTTTGATCCATTGTAACTCTCGGTGGGTGACATTGAAGTCTTTGCCTTGGCACTTGAAACTCTGTATACAAAGAAATTGGCGACAGCTTTTCTTGAGTCTAAGGATTTGAATACCAACTGCTATGCCCAACCAGCAGGGCTACCCATCCCAGGAGCATTTCTTAGCTGGGCTTAGTCACATGGCTCTAGCTTAAGAAGAAAAAAAAAAGTCTGATCAATGAGATGTCAAGTGAAATTTGTCACTTATTTTTAGTTTTGGCATGGCCATAAAATATTGTTAGAACACAAAGGAAAGAGCATGCAGTCTCCCTCAGAGTATTATATAGAAAGACTGAAGTTCCGTGTTCTAACTGCAAAGGCATTTCCTTCACAGGGTAGGGGGGGGAGCAGCTGTCTTAGTTTTGGGACCATTTCTTCAAGAGTGCAAGAGACATCCTGTATCTGGGTCCAGGAGGAAGAAGCTCCTCTCGTGACCTGACCGTTGGCTCAGACAGAGAGCATCCTGGTGTCTGCTCCAAGAAACTGTTTAGGACCACAGAAAACGACCCTTTCCAAATGCAAGGTCAAGAGTCAATTAAAGGGCACTTATGCAGGCTCCAAGATTCATTAAAAACAATATCGAGGAGATATGCTGCCGCCAGCAAGTCAATCTGTACCTGTGAGGCGAGTGCATCAGCAGCCTGATGGCGCCTTCAGACATCCAGATACCCCCAAATTGCTGCTGTGCCTTTGGCCAGACCCCAAAAACTTGGGGAAAAGTTTGCCAAGAAAGTAAACGGCCAAAAGTTAGGCATGTGGGAAACACACCCACAAACCACCTCCGGCTCAGCTATATAACTGGAGGCATGGCCTCTCTGGTTCCTGATTGAACTGCTTAATGACCATGATCCCAGAGACTCAAAATCTCGAAACCCAGCGGCTTTTGGCAGAAATGCATCCAGTCCCTGCAGTAGATTACCGGTGCTGGGCCAACCCAGGTGGGAATAGGTTTCGTGCCTTGGCATGTTCCCAGAGGACACTGGACAGTCAGGTTTGGGCCCCCAGTGACGAAACACGCAGGGCCTCACGGGAAAGGGGTGGAGCCGGTCCTGTCCTCTCCACCCCAACAAGACCCCAAGTCATCACCCACGAATGGCCTCTCTGGCTCCTGATCAAGCTGCTTAACGGCCATGATCCCAGAGATTCAGAAACAAATCTCGAAACCCAGTGGCTTTTGGCAGAAATGTGTCTGGACCATGCAGTAGGTTACTGTTGCCGGGCCACCCCAGGGGGGAAAGGGTGCTGTCCCTCCGCCTGCTCCCCCTTGGTGGCTCGGTAGCCGCCATCCTCCAGAGACCATTGGACAGTCAGGCTTGGGCCCGCAGTATATAACTTGTTGGGCCTCACGGGATGGGGGTGGAGCCGGTCCTTTCCTCCTCACCCCAACGAGACCCCAAGTCATCACCCACGAATGGCCTCTCTGGCTCCCAATTTAAGCTGCTTAACAGCCATGATCCCAGAGACTCAGAAACAAATCTTGAAACCCAGTGGCTTTTAGTAGAAATGCATCTGGACCCCACAGTAGGTTACTGTCGCTGGGCCACCCCAGGGGTGAAAGGGTGTTGTCCCTCAGCCTGATTCCCCTTGGCAGCTCGGTGGCTGTTATCCTCCAGAGGCCACTGGACAGTCAGGTTTGGGCCCGCAGAGACACTTTGGGCCTCACGGGAGAGGGGTGGAGCCGATCCTGTTCTTCCCACCCCAACAAGACCCCAAGTCATCGCCCACAAACAGCCTTTCTGGCTCCTGATCAAGCTGCTTAACGGCCATGATCCCAGAGACTCAGGAGCAAATCTTGGAACCCAGCAGGTTTTGGCAGAAATCCCTCCAGATTTAATTGTTAAAATTTTGGAATTTCAAAATCATGCGGCCACTACTGCAGCCATGCCACATCATATGATATTCAAAACCAGCAATAGAAAACAGATTATCTACTGTTGCCTTTTCGGCAGATCTGAATGTTGGGGTAAAATCTCAAATAATAATGGTGGGTCAGGTGTCAAAGTGTTGAATGTGATCAAAGTAGAGAGAGAGAGAGTAATGTGGAAATCATCTGCCCCACAGGTAGGGGGAGGGTGTGGGATGGGGGTATACTGAGGTTGTTGGGGGTGGAGAATGGGCACTGGTGAAGGTGCGAGTGTTTCATTGTATGACGGAGACTTAGACCCAAAAGCTTTGTAACTGCTCTCATGGTGATTCAATAAATAAAATTATAAAAAATGAAAAAAGAAAAATAAGATGGAGTTCATGCACAATTCAATCAGCTAATCAGTGGCTGGATAGATATATCCTCTATCAATTACCTATTTATTAATTTATTATATTTTAGGGCAGAAATGTCAGCATTTGTTAAAAAAAAGTACAGGAGTCACAGTAGCAGATATTGCAAATAATTTTCTTTAAATGTAAGAATGTTGTTTTGCCAAATTGGTAAACGTGTGGAGAGCTTCTCTTTCCACACATGTAAACTGGGAGGCACATCTCTGTCCCCGGCCGTGTCCCTCGACACCCCAGATATTCCTGCTAAGGCAGACCATTAAGACTCAGCGTTTCCACGCTCACATTTCCATCACTGGACTATTGCTCAGGGCTCCACATTGGAAAGTCACCAGGAAAGCGAGAGGCAGCTGGCACTGTGTCCTCACGGCCCTACCTGAACATTCTTTCTAGGACTCTGTAGGCAGGGAAGAGAGGAAGCAGTAACATACTGTTTGGGGTAAGAATGAGAGTGTCAAATAAACCAGAGTGCCCGGTGCCGATGTTCCCTTGAGCCATCTCCGTGCATGCGTACATGGTACAGAACTCCCAGCTGCCATCCATGCCTTGGTCCCAAGAGCCGGGCATGGGCATGTGGAAGGGGCTCCCCCAAGGTCAAGCCCAGTCTTTTGGCTTGTTTAGTTTTGCTTTTGTGGTCACACTTGACTGTGCTTGGGGCTAACTCATAGCACTGCTCTCGGGGACCATAGGTGGTGTTAGAGATCAAACCCGCTCAGTCACCATACGTGCCCTCCCCACTGCTCTCTCTCCAGCGCCAAATCCATTCTTTCAAGTCGGACTCATTAGAGGACCTCTGTGGGGGCCTGAAGTTAGGACAAGGTCCTGTCTCAGCAAAGGGGTATTTGAAGCCTTTTTTCTGAATGTCTAAGAAAGATGTTTTTGCAGCTGGCTTTGAGACCTGCAATGCTTTGGCATTTTAATGTCACGGTAGCAGAGAAAACCAGAACTAGCAAGAGCAATCAAAATAGAGCAGATGTGGTTCTAGTAAAGACTGAATTGAAAATAGAGAGGGTGGGAGATAATGACGGCGACTTTTTGAGCACATCTGCCGGGCTCCCTCCTCACCAGGTGCCGTGCAAGGAGGCTTCATGCAAAACTCAGAGTCTTTTCTCAATAGACTTGGGGTCTGGTGGGGGCATTGCCTAGGAGCTACTCTGGAGGGCTGTGGAAGCGATGACCCAGCTGTGCTGCTGGGATGAAGGAATCAGGGGGCAGCAGGAGAGCAGGAAGAGGGTGAGTGTGAGAGGCTCCCAGTTCCTGGGTGTGAGTTTCAGTGGGAGTGCGTCATTGCATTTGAGCGTGTGTGCGCACCCGTGTGTGTCAATTGGTGAAACTGTGTGTCTATCTGCGTGTGAGTTCACGCATGTGGATGTGTGAGTCAGTGTGTGCCAATGTGTAC